GAAGGCCTGGCGCAATATGGTTCATGGGGTCACGAAGAGTCGGACACGACTTAACGACTAAACAACAACAACAACAACTGAAGAGAATTGAAGGTATTGTTCAGTTAATAAAAATTATAACCAATTAACTTGAGCACCAATACAAAACTCCTTTTGAATTCTATTAGATATATTTCTGAAAAAGTTATTATTATGTAGGCAAAAATAATTCCTCAGATAAAAGTCATACTAAAAAGAGATGTGTCTACAACTGTGCTTCTGTGCAATCAAATAGTTAAAATTCAAGCATTCTTGTTCACAACAAGGTTCTCTTCTTTTTCTGACTGCCCAGAGTCCCATTCACTTAGATGTTCAGAGGCAACCTCCGTGTAGAGATGGTTCCAGTCCCAGATGACATCATCCTATCAAAGAACAATAACAAATGTAAAACATGTACCAATGGAGGAGAGATGTTTCTAAACATGGTAACGCAGTTCAAATGACAGAAGAAAATACACCACAGCAAGGACCCAATCCCTAAGTGCTAAAAATAATAGCAGGATCAGTTCTCTTTGCAGGAGAAGATCAGAGGGTTCAGAGGTGGTAGCTATAGTCTACAAGAATTGATCTCATTGACCAGAAGCTCCACCCAATAGTCTGCTAATTTTGAATGTTTGCTTCTAGGTTTGGGTGGCCACAACAGTGGAGAAATACTGTTAGAATACTGTAACCCCACTGCATAACCGTCTGTCTTTCTGAGCTAAATGGGATGATCTCTAGTGTGTCACTGCATTATTCTGGATTCCTTCTCTTAATGGATTTCAGGCCCTGTAATGGGAAGAAGTAATAACCTTGAGGAACAGGAGGAAGAGCCACTACCAATATAACAGTCCAATAAAAGAAACATGAGTCCGGGCCAGAACTATAACCTGAGAAAACGTCTCAGACAAGGCCCTGTCTGAGGGAACACATTCAGACTTGCAAGATTCTCTTATACTAGTTCTATAATAAAAGTAGCCTGCATGATTTTGGTTCCCTAGTCTGCTCTACCTTGAAGGACTGACATCAATCTTACATCCCCCCACCCCCACTGAATTTGATATCCTGTTCACCTCATGGTGATCTGAAAGTAAGCTTTCCAATGTCACAGACATTACTCGCTGGCCAGTTTTAGACTGGCAGCCAACTCAGACACTGTAATGGTATGTAGGAAGGACCTTGGGGGATGGGGCAAAGAGATGCTGCCTAGGGAATGGTCAGATAAGAGAGGGCATAGCCCACAGATGCATAATGGGAAGAGAAAGAGGCTCAGAAGGGACCCTCCCTAGTTTCTCAGGCTGTAAAGGAGATGGCAGAAGATTTGTACTTTCAGACTTGCAAGATTCTGTTAATGTAGCCTTACAATAGAACAGAATTTGCTCATCTGGTTGTGTTTCCTGTCTGGTCTACCTGGGAAGGCTGACAGATACCTAATGGATAGCTTTCTGAATGTGCTTGCCAGTCAGGAGTCCTGTTGAATCCCTAGCTAATCTGTGGATCACCATTTGAAACCATCACTAAGCATCCTTTTCTATCTAGCAGAGCTCAATTGGCACCAGGAAGCTGAGAGCAATGAAGCAGTGAAGTAGAGTGGTGGAGTATGAATGGAGGAATTTCAGTCATGAATCAGAGCAAGCACAGATTGGGGCTCTTTCAGGCCCAACTGTAATCCTACTCCATGGCACTGGGTGCCGTGAAGAGAGCTTACTTCTCTCATTCCACTGCATCTGCACAAAACAGTCCAACCATGCAGCATCTCCTCCATCAAAATGCTGGGGGAAGGAGAACTGAAACAGTTGGGGACTTGTTGTGAGAAATTTTTATCATCCTTTGCAAAGTGGGTCAATCTCACCTCCATTTGGACTTTAGACTTGTGGGGGCACTACTTGCTTGCTTGACACAGTGTCCTCGCCCCCAACAAAAAAAAACCTTAGTAACATTAAAAGGTTGTCCAGACCTGGTGCTGAATCAGTGCTCTGATTCTGATAAGGCAATTTTCTAAGGAAACTGAGAAGAACTGAAATAATGGCACTGGAACAAACATTCTTTAATCAATGAACTGAAGGACAGGCCTAGCAAAGAGATGTGTTCATGTTCTTCTCCCTGTTCCACTTCAGAACAAACTCACCTCTCGTACTTCTTGCTCTGGTGCTAAGACTTTACTGAGTAGTTTGAGATCAATCTCTCCATCCTGTGAAAACACATTAAAAATCATAGCTGCTCCAAGAACAAGTAACAACATCTGCATTTTGTCCACTAATAGCAAGACAATCCTATTCCTCCTCTGAAAAACACATACAGCCAGCATGAGAGCAAAGCAGAGCAAATGCACTAACATCTCAGTCAGAAAATGCTTTTAAAAGCAATCACAGCATGCAACATTGGAGAAGTGTTTTTTTCTCGGGCAAGGCTCTCTGGTTGTGACTACATTAAATCACTGTAATTTCCAAAAATTATCTGTGTCCAGACTTGTCTCCCAAATATAAACTGAATATGATAAATTAAATCTCGAAGGAAAGACATTCTGCCAAATGAGTTATATAACTAAGGAATGTCCAAAGATGATTAAAAGAAACATCAAAGATGCTGCATAGGCAATATGAAGATAAGCTCACTAGATATTTATCTAGTCTTCCAAGACCAAGGGCTCTATCAAAAGAATGGGTAAAATATTCATATATTACGTTAAAATAAAAAGGGACATCTAGAGGATAACAAATGTCAACTTTTAGTGTCAACAGAAAAGGCTTGCTGCTACCTTCTTCCTGGAAGAAATATAAATAAATCTGAGTTTCCATCTGACTGCACTCACCAAGGTTTGGAATGCGGCATACTTCATGAGGTCATTGTCCAAGTCACGGTAGGTCAGCACTCTATTCACCTGAATGCTGTGGTTGGGGTTAGAGCAGAAATGAAATTGGCATTCTCCATCCTTCATCAGAAAGCCTAAAGTATGGAGTTGATCCTAATAAAAAAGCCTTTTATTATCTTTACTCAGCAGTTACAGCAGCTACTTCCTCTCTTCAGAGGAGCTGATTTGCCATCGTTAAAACACATGGTACAACATTCAGCCAAGTAGGGCAGAAATCAATCCACACAAGACAGCCAACTAGCAGAACCAATACTGGGGTTAGTTACCTAGGGGGGGCTGCCACTTGCATGGCAAAGTCTTCCTCTTGTACTTCTTCCAAGTCAGGGATCACTGGAATATCTGCAAGAGATAAAAGAGGAGTAAGAAAGGATTACTACAGATTTGCCAAGTTTATTTTTGGAGAAGCAGCTTGGGGAAGGATCATAACTCATTGATAGAACACAGGCTTTGCACTCCGAAGGCCCCTTGTTCAATCCTTGGCATCTCAAATGAAAAACATCAGGTGATGGGGAAAATCTCTACCTGGAAGAGGTACCTGGAACAGACAATTCTGAATCAGATGGACAAACAGTTTGCTTCAAGGCAGGTACAGTACATATATTTGTAGAAATGTTGTTTCTATGAAAAAACATAACTTAATACAGGTGTAGGGAATCTGCAGATATTGCTGGATTACAGTCCCCAGTATCCCTCACTGTAGCCATGATGGCTGCTGGCACTAGGACATAAGTTAGCAACATCTTTAGGGACGCATGATCCCTGCCCTTGCCCTAATAATAGTCCTAACCTATGTGACTACTAATATCCTCCTCCTCTTTTTTTTTTAACTATTTAAGCAGACAGATATATGCTCTCTAAGAAAATTAAATATATTTCAAAAGATAAAAACAAAAGAAAAAATAGTTGGATGTGTGAATGGAAGAATGGTCTTTATTTATTTTGCACAAATACGCATACATGCTGACTCATAGAAACACCGGCTCCATTTACATTCTAGTATAATGAAATCTTCCTCAATCATATCAAGCTTGTTTTCAGTAAATCAGTTTTTGAATAGTTTGGTGCTAAAGCATAAGGTTCTCATGCTTAAGGCTCTGGCCATCCCTGTTCTCAGAGCTGCCTTGTTCCAATTCTGAAATTGATTCTAGTGTCCCAGATTAGTTAGATGGCTAGGGAACTGTCAGGCTCAGCTGAAGTTTTGATTGTTGTTTAATTTTTTAAAATATTTAAATCTGTACATTGCTCAGAATCACTTTGAGTGGGTGTCCTACAAATGTGATTAATAAATAAATAATGAATACATCCTTTACCCACTGTCTTAACTAAATGATGGCATCTTAGCATTGCAAAGCCCATTTCAGATTTTGTCTGTAACTCTGCTTTTGCATCCAGCCATTTGGTTGTTTAAGTGCTGCCTTGTCTGCAACCCTGGCTGAAATTAATATTCAAAAGCTGGAAAAGTGCCCTTCCTATGAAGTCTAGTGCCCATGTCCAGGTCCTTTTCAAAATCCCCTCTCACAGTTCCAAATGCACAGACTCTGTCTCCACATTCCTCCTCCTCCTCTGCAGATTCCTTTGACCTTGATGGAAGCAGGACTGGTCCATCTGCAGTAGGGCAAGGGTTAGCGTGGACTTTTGACAAGGGTACTGCTTGGAGCAACCCACACAGTGGGATTTCTCTCTAATTGGCTGCCTGGTGAAGGGGCTGAATGAAAGAGAGTCTGAAAGCAGAGCCAAACCAAAGGAAGAGACAGTGACAGCTTGGACAGTCTCAGCAGAGTTATGCCTTCCAGCTCCTCAACTATCCAAGGACTTGCTGCCTAAAGCAGAGTGGCTTTTAGCTCATAGCCAAATTAATAAAGAGGAAATGAAGCTGTTGATTGCCTTCTTCAGCAAATCTATGTTGTAGTGATAAAGTATGCTCTGTAACAGAACTGAAGTTTTACATGACTGCATTTTGCTCACAAATGCAAAAATTGCAGCCTCCAGGCTGCAGATAGCCCAACAGTTTGAGTGCATTCTATAATGACCACTTGCCTTCTCACAGCCTTCCCTTGCCTCCTGCTCCCATTTGCCACTGTACTTTTTACTTGTACTCTACTGCATTTCACATCACCACATCATTTTCTTTCTCTGTCTTTTCCACCCTGTCTTTTTGTTCCTTACATCTTCCTAGTAATGTTCAGCAAAGGGAGAAATTTGATGTAGTAGCTCAAAATCAAAAGGGCTACATTTTCAGAGTAATACATTTTATTAAAAGGCACAAGCTTTCATGAACTACAGCTCACTCTACCAGATGCATGGAATGGCTAAACTGAAATAGATTTTAAATTGGGAGGGGGGAAAAGCGGGGGAAGACAGGGTAGTATCGCAGATACAGGTTACTATACATGTGTGGCAGATTACAAGTACCATATCAAATAACAATTTTAATGTGTTAAAATCCCACTGTGTTTGTTAACATCTTCTGAGATAGCCTGAAATCTTTTGATGTACATTATGTGAGTTCAGCAGTCTCACCCAATCATGCTGGTGATGCTTCTTTGTTCCAGAACTTTAAGATCTGCAGTGGAGTATCCTGAAGGGTTAAAATGCTCTTTTACTTTGCCTTTTTTATGAGTCCTGATGTCAAACTTGTGTCCATTAATTATTTTGTGCAAAGTGTGGCCTGTATGTCCTACATATATCCCAGAGGGGCTTTGCTGGCAGAGGATAGCATAGATCAATTAGAGGAACAGCATGTGAAGGCATCTCTATTCTTGTGTGTGAAATTGTTGGGACTTGTGATGGTGCTGTTGGTACAAAAAGTGGAGGCATAATAGTAGACGTCTGGTTTTGTTGCAAGCTCTAATTCCCATGTAAGCATCATTTTCATGTTTCTTCTGACTGTGAGAATCTACTTCATGTTGGGTGGTTCAACGTATGCAAGTTTGGCCTGCCACCAGGGCCTGAGAAAGTGCAGTGTCATTGTCCAATATGAATTGTATGCTATTAATAACACGTTTGAGTGGCTTGAGTTGTGAACTATAGACGACAACCAGTGGTGTTCTGTTGTTTTGCTTTTCTGGTCTGTCTTTTAATAGGTCTTCCCCAGGGATCGATCTGGCTCTACTGATTTGTCTATTGATCTTGCTAGGTGGGTAATTCAGTCTCCTGAATTACTGGTTTAATCCCATCAGTTGAGCATCTCTGTCAAGTGGGCCAAAAGAAACGCAGTTGTAACATAAAGTCTAGCTATAGTCAATAAATTTGGTGATGTGTTCTGGGTGGAAGATGGAAGCATATAGGTATGCATGCTTGATGTGGTAGCCCAATGAGCATCCCTGTGCTGCTCTTATCCTCTATTCTGCAGCAGCAACCTGACTCTTTCTGTCTTCCTTTTGTTCCCAAAACTTATCATAGTGTCCTCTACCTCAACTATCTCCTTTTGGCATTTCCACCTGAAACTAAACCCATTCTAGCTTGCTCTCAGCTTGCTGTTTCTCAGCCTTGATCTTCAATGTTGTTCCTTTGCTTTCTTATCCCTTTCCAACCTTTTTTTGTTTTTGTTTTTTTAAACTATTTTCAGCCCTGAGAACATCTGGATATCCTCTCCTTAGTGCTGATTTAGCTCCCTCTACTGGGCTTGAAATAAATTATAAATGGGGAATAAAGTACCATATTTTGGCATAGGAACATGAAGTTTTTTCCTTGAATGGTAGGGGGAGATTGTCTTACAATAACTAAGAATAGAAGTTGCTGTTAAAAACAAGCAAATGTGTGGAAGGTAAGCATGGATGCCTTTGAAGATTAATCACAACTGGAAGGGATTACTTGCCTGCTGATTTTTATATTTGGGGAACCTTATTTTATAGACCATGAATTTTAATCAATAGTTATTAATACAGTTCATATTCATTCATTTTAGTTGCTCTAGCCCTGCCTTTTTTGGAGTGTGGCTTCTAATGGGTATGGATACATGTAAGCACATGTACACATAAGTGTATATACTGTATATACATTTTTGTGAAGAAGAAAATCTCCAGGACGGGTTTCAGCTGTGAGTTGGTTAAATTGGTTATGACAAAAAAAAAAAAAAAATCCTGTCTATATTTCCTTTTTGAGGAAATTATTTTAACTTCAGGGTCATCTTCCTTTGTGGTGATACAGTAGATACCAATTTTTAAAACTCAATGGTGTGTGTGTGTGTGTGTGTGTGTGTATTAGAGGACAGTAATGTATTAAAAGAAAATACATGCTTCATTTAATAGAGTATGTTTCTATCAATATGTGCATGCATGAACATGTGGGCGCACTGTTTGAATTATGTGTGTGCATTACTTTATAGCTGTGTTTGAGCAAATTATTTATGTTTAACTTTTTATTTCACATGACCCTGTCCACTTTGAAGTATACTCTTATGCCTCTCAAAATTATATGTGGCCATTAGGTAGATGGAACAGAAGTTCCCTGTTCTAGCTGAATAAAATATCAATTAGCAGAGATGGACAACAGCTAAATTATTAGGAATCACCTATCCAATATCCAGGTCCTTGCATAAGTCACATACATTGTCTTTAAGACCCAATTCTTTCATAGAGAAACTTGGCTTTTGAGTACCTCTAAGAGACTCTGGGTGTCCAAAAATGCTGGATCAGAGCTGCAATGCCTTCAGATATTAAAAGCCAGGAACTAAAACTAATAAACTCAGCAGCTATTAAAGCAAACAGACAAAATTCACAGACCATAGGGCAACTTCTAATCTAAGTAATGAACTGAGGTCAATTCATACTATTCATTTAATGTTGCAAGGCCTGCTGTTAGCATTGAATACAGTGATGGCTATCTGACTGCTTTACCACAGGACTGAGGCTGCTAGCCAGTCAAGGCTGAATTGAATTCATCATGTGCTGGTTATACTAAAAAGACTAGTGGAATTAGTCCTCTACAACAAGGCTTACAAAATGTATAATGAAGAAAAAATATCAAGAATGAAAAAGATTCTTTCAATTAACAAAGAGAATACTGTATAAAATTGAGCAAAAAGACTTGCTATCAAAACTGCTTTATTCTTTTACCAGAAGCATTATAGAGCAATAAATAATCATTTTAATAATATCCTGCACTATCAGAAGTGGGTATGATAACATTACAAAAAAATCTCTAGGTTTTAGAGAGACTGTTTATCTACAAAATGTTGTTTAGCAGCTCAGTATTATTATTTGGAAGCTATTACAACTTTTTGAAGTCAACATCATTCTTTACTAAAAATCATTGAAATAACACACTCCTTAGTCGTAAAATTAATTAATAAACCTAATACATTTATCTTTCCTAGTAATGATGGGGGACTTTACTCT